GATCGTGCAAACAAAATCAAGGGATGCGTGAACCCCAAAAACAGTTCCAGAAACTTTTTTTGGGGGGGTCGTGCGTCCCATAATTTTGTTTGCGCGATCGCGGCAAGGAGTGGAAGAGTGGGTTTGATAATAAAGTTAGCGGTGCCTCCACCCAAGACAGGGCCGCTGTAAACAGAATGGGTTCCCTTCTAGGAAATTAATCAGTGATTTAATCAAAGTAAGTGGGAGCAGATGAACTACTGCAACCAGCATATGACAGTACCATAAGTCTATAGCTGCAAACCAGTATAAAAAATACCAGCTTTATATAAGAAGAGATTATTAATAGTACATACATCCAATGTGCAAACAGGAATTATCAGCATAGGATCTAAAAAAAGTCCTGATGGAATTGTGCACATATACAAGAGTATATATATTTATATAGTGGGCCGTAACGCTGAAAGGCTGCACATACACATTACATATCACAGCAGCGTTCACACATGTAGGACACCCAACATTAGAGGTGATTTATTCTTACAAAGCAAATACACCTTTACAAACTGGTACTGATTAGTATTTCAGCATTTCTCTTCTCCTTCACTCTGCTAACATGACCCCAATTCTGATGGAGATGTCCTCCATATCAGTCGATGATGTCACTAGTTGTCAGGATGCTGGTGGCTGGCCTGCATTGTTGCCCAAGGTTGTAATGCCACACCTAATTTTCCCACTGGCTTCTACAAAATTTTGGGGCAATTAGAGGCAATTTTTAGGCATTTTGCAAAGGTATTCCTGAAAAACCCAAACGGCACCCCAGGCTGCAGCAGCACCCTGGTTCAAAAAGTCTATACTAATGTAATGAAAGGTGACCACTATATACAGAAGCATAGACCTTGCTATCTGTCACTGCGCATGTGAGATAATAACAGTAGGACAGAGATACTCTGTTAGAAGGATTCAGATACACTCTCAAGAAGCATCTTCAAAGTATTAGAACATAGAAATACTTGCATAATAGTCTCTGCTTCTGGTCTGAGTGAATTACAGCAGCTTCTGCGTACGTAAGATCATATAGTTCAGTTCCTCTCTCTCTCCCCACTTTCTTCTTGTAGGGTTTCTGACCCAGCTAGCAGGGACAGGAAGTACATGTTTATAACCAACTCACCAATTCTGTGGTAAGTAACAAACAGTAACTGTTTACAAATACAGAGAATAGAGGACAGCAGATCCCTACACTAGGTTTTGTTTTATATCATAGTAGACAAGAGAAGCATGGAGGGTGCCATTGTTGACTTCTCATTCTCCAGATGCTGAGTATCTTGCTCCTTCACTTTCTGTCAATAATCCAGAACAAGCATGCAGATAAGGACTCCTGACTTTACTTTGACTTTCCTAATCTGCAATCATCAATGACTCACAAAGTACTGAAGTCAATGGTTCTGCACAATAGCCAGGCAACAAGCATTTTTCAGGAGGTCAGTAGTAGCAGATCCCAGGGAGCTACTGGTATATATAGCAGATGTCATGCACAGCTCCCTATCCCTGAAGAGGTGGGTTGCCAGGAAATGCGTTGAGTTAATGCATGACGTCATTGCGCACGCTGCGCGCTGAGCAGCAAGGCTGTTTTTTAATGCTTGTTGACACCAATCTTTGTGAGTACCTGTAAAGTTAATTAATTGACTTGAATAAAGATATTGAGCCTTGCATTTGTGGTTTGTTCTCTCTGAGTGATTGAAGACTGACCCGGCTGTGGACATGCTGGATTCCTGAGGTCCATTGGGAGAGAGCCCGAGAGTGAGAACTAGACTGCTGCTGTGATCCTATGTGGAGTGATACCTGCTGTTTTAACCTCTTATAATCTGGAGGTTGTTGCATTTGGTAAGAGGCAAGTTCCGGCAGTGGTGGTTGCACAGTGGAGGAATTTGAGTGAAGTTTCAGAGCACCAGATTATCTGGGAATTTATAAACTTTGGTGGACTTTTCATTAATTTAGAAGCACTTGAGCACTTTTTGTAATATATGCATGATAGCACTTTCATGTAAAATGTTTGAATTGTTCGCACTTTGTTTTTTACATATGAAATCATGAAATAGTTGCACTAGAGCACTTTTCAGATGCAGTATATAATGATGCATAATTTATTATATGAATTTGATGCATCGTTTTTATATAAATTTTTACGTATAATTTTTGCCATTCATTTTGTATATGTTTAGTTGCACTTGAGCACTTTTTAATTCTTAAAGGGACAGCGCAGCTTTTTGTGGAATATCCCACAGTTATAACCTATATATACCTACATTGGTCCAAGCTGGAACAACTGTAAAGATAAAAATTGCCATACCTGGAATTCAGCTTTAAACTGGAACATAGGCAAGGATCAAAAGATCCTCAGTAAAGCAGACCATAGAAGGATCAAAACTCAGCCAGCTCAGCAAGGATAGGCTGAATTTCAATCAATGTGTGGCTATCCCTGTTCAATAGAAGTCAATTGTTAGAAAAGTTGGAAAACTCTTCTTGATCAGCGGCTGCAGCTGTTGATCCATGTATCCTGATGTCCCAGTGGGGGGAAGAAGAAGGGATTCCTCTTTCCTCCATCCACCTCACTTTTTATTTTGCTTAGCCTGCAGTTGAATAAAAAAAAAAAAACTGTACTTAGCCAACCTAAAGTGGAACTTCTCATAAAATCTGAAGTTCTGCTCATTGTACTCCTTCTCCTCCCTACCATTAATGGAAATAGTTCTCTTTTTTCAGGTAGTGGTATCTAGTTTTGACAGGTACCCACTCCCACTCAGATTGCCTAGGCAATCCAAGTGGAAGTCCCCCCTCCATGCACAACCTCCTGGGGCACATCACAGGTCCCCAAGACTGTTGGTCTATTCAGAAAGCTCAGCACTACACGTGCGCAGTGGGGATCCGGCTGTGAGCCAGTAGGAAGTCACAGTCAGCTTCCCACACTCAAGATGAACTGAAAAGAATAGGCGCTGTGGGAAATGCTCTCAGTCAAGCACCTTAATGAAGGTACATCTTTATTCAGTGAGACAAAGTAGCAAATGTAATACAATTTGACCAGCCTGAAGTGAACAGCGTGACTCCAACGGATGGCCCGTCTGCTCTGAAGGGAGCTGGGATCGGAGAACGCTCCTGTCGGCTATGAATCACGTGGTGTCAGCGTACCAGCGTCCTGGGTGGCGTCATCACGGCAACTAAAGGGCGGAAGGTAGTGTCCAGCGTCGGCTTCAGCTGGGAGCGTATGCAGGGTTACCAAGATGATATGCTTCACGCAGTTGCGCTTTGTCAAGGCTCTGGTAACCCTGGCTGGCGGCCATTATATAGAAGACTATTAGAGGGAAGGGTGGCTGAGTGTAATTAGCAGGGAATGGGGTGTCAATCAGAGCAGACGGCTCATCCTGAAGCAATGCTAAATGCCGGCCAGGGTTACCAGAGACTTGACAAAGCGCAACTGCGTGAAGCATATCATCTTGGTAACCCTGCATACACTCCAAGCTGAAGCCGACGCCGGACACTGCCTTCCGCCCTTCGCTTGCCTTGATGACGCCACTCGGGACGCCGGTACACTGACACCACGTGATTCATAGCCGACAGGAGCATTCTCCAATATCAGCTCCCTTCAGAGCGGATGGGCCGTCCTTTGGAGTCACGCTGTTCACTTCAGGCTGGTCAAATTTTATTATATTTGCTACTTTGTCTCACTGAATAAAGATGTACCTTCATTAAGGTGCTTGACTGAGAGCTTTTTCCACAGCGCCTATTCTTTTCAGTTCTCATCGTCTTGCAAATGATTAACAAGGCAACAGTGGTAAGCTCATGATCAACTGTTCACATGTTTCCACCTAGAGTGGCCTCTCTGCGCTCATTTGTATGAGTTTCCCACACTCAAGATGGCAGTGCTGGGGACCCAAAGACTGGTGAGGAACCAGCCCAGGTGATGATAGTGCTAGATGCAAAAGAAGAGCAATTCCCTGTGCTTGGGAGAAGTGCATCAACAGGCAGAAAACAAGTGCTGTTCGATATAACCAATGTAGGCACCAGCTTTGCTGCCCTTTCAACGGTACAGGGGGACCCAGAGAACGTACTGCAAAGACAAGAAATGGAAGGTGCACCAGCCTAGTGCATTACTTTAATAATATTTGTATTTATAATAAAAGGAGTAGATGTATACTCACAAACAGCACAAATGAAAAGATACATCAAACATCATAATGGACCTGAGAACATCTGGTCTCCTGGGTGAACCCCAAATGCATGAAGACCTTCCAAACCTTCTGAAGCGTTTTGAGGGGTGATCCCCTCTTCATCAGAGTTCACCCTTCGAAATGCGTTAGCCTGTTTGGAAGGTCTTCACGCATTTGGGGTTCGTTCAGGAGACCAGATGTTCTCAGGTCCATTCTGATGTCTGATGTGGCTTTTCATTTGATGACAGTGCTGGATCCCTGTACAGGTGAGTACCAATTTAGGGCTCATTCACACCATACATGAAAACTAATGTGAAAACCATACAGATTTCACTTGCACAGACATGAGTTTACATCAGTTTTACATCGGAGTACATCAGTTTTCAAGCACGTTTTAGTGAGTTTTTATGCACGTTGACATCAGTTTTCATGCTCGTCATTTATGCGCCTGTATACACCACAGTGTTGATGTTCCGTCAGTTTTTTTTTCTGTGCAGAAAACAGCATACACATCACAGATTCCTGGGCAGAAAAAGTCTGCACATGATACAAGTGTTGTGGTATAAATAGGCACATAAAGAACAATTATTTTTCTTGTGCCCTTGCAGAGCACATGCAGAAAAACTGACGTCTCTGCACAATGTGGTGAACAAGGCCTTAAAGTGTTACAAAACCCACAATAGTAAAATCAGTCTATATATGCAGCAAAGCATGCTTGTTATACTCACTGTGGAACCAAAGAGGTTAATCCTCCGCATTGTGTAAAAAGGATGCTTGATCCTGTCTTCTCTTATCCTCCCCTTCTTCTATCCCCAATCCATCTGCTGATAGAACAGAGTCTTGAGAGTAAGCTGCACATGCTCAGTTTGGTGTGTATTGCTAGAGAGGTTTTTTTTTTTTTTCTTGGGAGAGTACATGTGATCAGCATAGGTCCAATCAGCACTGTCCAGACAGAGGGTCAGGGGCTATGCAGCCTCATAGGACAGTCAGAGCAGAATTAAAACTCTGCCTACAAGCTTTGTGCTCGGCCGGACATTGATAGAAGTCAGAGAAGTCAGTCTTCTAGAAGATAGAACACTGCTATATACTGCTGCTAAGAAAAGGTATTTAGCAGTTTATATTTACTAAAATAGTTGCATTTCCATGTTCTGTGTATTGTGGGAGACCAGATATAGTGAATGCAGGGTCATGGGTTTAGTAACACTATGAAGTGATACTACAGTCTTGGTGTTTTTTCTTAAAAAAAACAAAGATGTAATACTTATCCTCTTACCCTCTTCTTGGGTCCCTTGCTGGCACTCCTAGCCCCTCCCTCCTATCGGGTGCACCCATAGCAAATAGCTTGCTATGGGGACACCTGAGTAGGCACGCTCCCGAGCCAAGGCTCTGCTTGTCCATTCGCACACAGAGCCACGACTCGGTCCACCTCTGCCCTCTCCTGATTGGCTCAATGGCTGTGATTGACAGCAGTGGGAGCCAATGGCTCCTGCTACTGCCTCAGCCAACCAGGAGTGAGAGTCCCTTGAGAACTGAGGCTCTCGTCGACAACGCTGGATCAAGAGGGGGTTCAGGTGTTAGGGGGGCTGCTAAACATTCTGTAGAATTCATAGAATACATGAAGGTAAAAATCCTTGAGCCTTTAGAACCACTTTAATAACAGTGGCTTCATACTGCCCTGGTGCAGTCCCACTGTGCTTTGGGCACAGCGTGGCTAACTCATAGTTTTCATGAGGGTTAGCTATGCTTTCCCATAGACTTCTACGCTGTCACGCTGTTTTGGTACTTTCAGAAAGCTTACCAAAGATGCAGCATGCAGGAGCTTCGTGTGCGCTCAAGACCTCATAGACGTCTATGGGAAAGTGCAGCTAGCCCTCAGGGAAACAGAAGGTTAGCAGCGCTTTAGCAAAAGGCTAAATGGCTGGAGTTCCTCTTTAAGTGATTAAATCAGCTGTGAAAGTGTTTAAAATCAGAGGGTATAATGTGTCTTTAATCATTCCATACTTAATTCAAAAGAAAAAAAGTTCTGACTTTGCACTTCTTTCTCGATCTTTGTATATATCAGTGTATATCAGAGGAGTGTATATCAGAGGAGCTGTGATGATGAAGAGTACAGCGATCTGTGTGTACAGAGTACATGTGATGAGGATGAGTACAGCGATCTGTGTGTACAGAATACATGTGAGGAGTACAGCGATCTGGGTGTACAGAGTACATGTGATGAGGATGAGTACAGCGATCTGTGTGTACAGAATACATGTGAGGAGGAGTACAGCGATCTGTGTGTACAGAATACATGTGATGATGAGGAGTACAGTGATCTGTGTGTACAGAATACATGTGATGATGAGGAGTACAGAGTACAGCGATCTGGGTGTACAGAGTACATGTGATGAGGAGGAGTACAGTGATCTGTGTGTACAGAGCACATGTGAGGAGGAGTACAGTGATCTGTGTGTACAGAGTACATGTGATGAGGAGTACAGCGATCTGTGTGTACAGAGTACATGTGATGAGGAGTACAGTGATCTGTGTGTACACGGTACATGTGATGAGGAGGAGTACAGTGATCTGTGTGTACAGAGTACATGTGATGAGTACAGCGATCTGTGTTTACAGAGTACATGTGATGAGTACAGCGATCTGTGTGTACAGAGTACATGTGATGAGGAGGAGTACAGTGATCTGTGTGTACAGAGTACATGTGTGATGAGTACAGAGTACAGAGATCTGGGATCTGGGTGTACAGAGTACATGTGATGATGAGTACAGTGATCTGTGTGTACAGAGTACTTGTGATGAGGAGTACAGCATCTGGGTGTACAGAGTACATGTGATGAGGAGGAGTACAGTGATCTGGGTGTACAGAGTACATGTGATGATGAGTACAGCGATCTGGGTGTACAGAGTACATGTGATGATGAGAGGAGTACAGAGATCTGTGTGTACAGAGTACATGTGATGAGGAGGAGTACAGCGATCTGGGTGTACAGAGTACATGTGATGATGAGGAGTACAGAGATCTGTGTGTACAGAGTACATGTGATGAGGAGGAGTACAGAGATCTGTGTGTACAGAGTACTTGTGATGAGGAGTACAGAGATCTGGGTGTACAGGGTACATGGTACATGTGATGATGAGTACAGAGATCTGGGTGTACAGGGTACATGTGATGATGAGTACAGCGATCTGGGTGTACAGAGTACAGTGATCTGTGTACAGAGTTGTGATGAGGAGTACAGTGATCTGGGTGTACAGAGTACTTGTGATGATGAGTACAGCGATCTGGGTGTACAGAGTACATGTGATGATGAGTACAGATCTGGGTGTACAGAGTACATGTGATGATGTGATCTGGTGTACAGAGTACATGTGATGAGGAGTACAGAGTACATGTGGAGAGGAGGAGTACAGTGATCTGGGTGTACAGAGTACATGTGACGATGATCCGAGTGCTGACAGCAGAGGAGAGCGGAGGTCTCCTCCGGCAGGGTGTGGTCCTGGAAAGTCCTAGCTGTCCATGGCCCGGGGCTGGGTGTGCCAGGGATTGCCTGTCCGGGAGGGGTGAGGAATCCCCGAGGAATGAGGAATATTCCCGATGTGATGACCCCTGCTGGAGAGAAGAGGGCTCTGGTACAGAGGGGTGTGGTGTGTGCATGGCTCCTCTTATAAACCAAGCCTTACTTCTACACTGCTAGACAAGTTTCTTGTGCTCCGTGTGACAGCTCCGCTCTGCCCATCTATGGTCACACACTGCTAACCCCTCTCTCCTCTACACCCCAGGGTGTGCTCTACACCACCCCCATCATCCGAGACCAAGGCAACATCTACAAACCGAACAACAAAGTCATGGCAGACGACAGCGACAAGTCAGCCCACGATGTCCTCACCAAGGAGATCGACCTGGTCAACAGGGACCCCAAACACCTCAATGACGATGTGGTCAAGGTGAGGAGGGGGAGGGGACATGGTGACAACACCTGGGGACACCTGTCATCAGAGGATGGGGAATGTCTCTGCTCTGCATCTGGACTGATCTCATGATTTCTATGCTGTGGATTGATTTCTGTATTCTCTTTAATCATTTCTGTTTTGTATTTATTTGTATTTGTTTTCTATCCTGTGTATTTATTTGTTTCTAGTGTTTGCTGCCACTGACTATTAAACTGTTAAAGGAGTTTATCGATTAAAGCTGGCGATTGCGAAATCAGGCTGACTTCTTCATAGGAACCAATCAGCTGCTAACTTCAGCTCTGGCAAGCTGATTGGTGAGCCTGATTTTGCACTCTCTAGCTTTAGTAAATAAACCCCAAAGTGTCTTTTGTAGGAAAATAACTTACTAAGATTCGTATAAGCGATGTGCACATCCAGATCTAAGGCTCACCCTACATGTTACAATCTGATTGTACAATCTCTGCACAATCCATAGAAGATTTAACAAAGAATAAGTACCTGTAATAAATAAATACATAACTATGTAATATAAAACACGACCTAATCTATCCGATTTGTATCCTTGGGCTACATAGTTGTTGACAGATCTAAAAAATGGTACAATCAGATGGTAACATGTGTGGTGGGCTTAATAGTTGATGCGCACAGAGAATTTACAGACATTTTTTATGCCTCGTGTAAATTTCCCAGCGCTTTGCCATGCCATGGATGCCATGTCTTCCACACAAGTAAATGGCTGTATGCGGCCATACTCTTGCAAATGTCGATGTTTCTTTGCATTAGCGGTTATCTGTGCATGCGCTTGAAACTTCTACATTTGGGAAACATATGAAACGCACGTGCACAGGTGCAAGGAAGCATCGACATTTGCCACTTACAGCCATTCAGTGCTATGGCAGGTTGTACATGAACCCTAAGGGCCGGTACACACTATAGAAACGCAGTCCAAATGCGTTCCAGATGCACTTTTGCATGCACGTTTTTGGCACATTCCAGTGCGTTTTTCATGCATCCTGGTTCATTTTTCATGCATTCCAGTGCGTATTTCATGCATTCATGTTCACTTTTTCCCCTCTCTCTTTCTTCAATTTAAATAAGGACATGTGCGTTCCAGTGCATTTTTTGGTGCGTTTTTCATGCATTTTAGCATGGTCCAGTTCTGTGCAGGAACACTCTAGAACTGCAAGCACTGATATGAACTATGACATTGACAACCACTACTTTCTGTGCTTTTTGGATGCAGAAATAAAGCACACTGAAATGCATGGAGTGTGAACTGGCCCTAAAGGCTACCATACACTCTACAATCAGATTGTACAAATCTCCTCGATCTAACATCTACTCTATAGTGCATGGGCGTGCCAGTTTGTTAGTAAATGAAGAAATCATTTAGGTTTGTGACATCGTTTTGGTCAATCTAAAGAAGATTGTACAGAGATTGTACATTGATATTGTATAGTGTATGGCCAGCTTTAGAGAGATTTGTACAATTGTCACAGATAACATGCTGGGTTGTTAGTATGACTTCTAGTGTCCTACAATCACTTTGCTCCTATCTGTCCCGTATTTGGATAGACTGTTTCTCTTTTGGAACCAACTCCCTCTGTCCTCCATTTGATCTAATCTATAGCTCATAGTATAGTGCACAATCATTGTATTGCCTCCATTATATTGTGTGTTATTTTGAAAACTAGTATAAAAAGTGATAAAAGCACTTGTGGATTTAATCGGGAATTGTTTGCATATTCTTCTAGTCCGTGTAACTGGAGGCGTGGCCGGGGTGTGTCCTTTGTCTGCATACTTTGTGATCCAAGGGGACCCTCTCTCCCATCTCAGGGCTCATTCACATTATATCCATTGAGCTCTGTTGATCTGCATAGATGATTGCAAGGATCCATAGAAAACAAAGATTTCTGTGTGCCCTGTTCAAACTATAATGCTGTGCTGCCGTGTGTTGGGTAGAAACATTAGTGCAGCGCAGCAACATAGTGCATGGCATGGCAGCACACTGCGATGTGCTACAGTGCAAACACTTGAATCAAGTGTCATTTTGTGGCCCTTCAATGTAATTAAAAAATGAAACCGTAAACCACATGATGCATTGTTACCAGTGGTGGACTGACAACTCATGGGGCCCCCAGGCAATAGAAAATCATGGGGCCCCTGTGTCCTCGCCCACACTCAAACCACACCCGAAAAAAGCCTATAAAAGATACCAGGGGCATCTCATGGGGCCTCCTA